GCTCTGAGTGTGAACAGGTGCCAGAAGAAAAACAGCATGACAGGTGAGAAGAGAGTTAACAGCACCAACTGGCCTAGCTCAGTGGGTACACACCCCAGCTGTTGAAATACAGACCTGAGCTCAAACTCCACTCGAAGCAGATAAGTAAAATACTGCATTGAAAAACAAAACCAAAAAAAAAAAAAGGAGCTAACAGCAGGACCGGCAAGCTGAGTGCACGACTACTGAAGAGATGGATTCGCTTCTTCTCTGCTCCAATTGACACTGGATTAGCTGGAAAGAAATCTTGAACAATGCAATGTTATGATGATGAGAATGAGGGAGGAAGGTCCACTGATGCCATGGACGACAGACAAAAGAGAGAAGGGGGTGAAGGGGTAGAATGTGATATAGAATATACACCATCCTTAGTCATTAGGTCCCACCTGTTGCCCAGAGATGGGGCCTATGTGGCTGGATGGTGTTAATCAACAGAGTTCAAATCCTGGTGTAATCAGACGGATGGAACAAGGTCCACCTGTTGCCTAGAGGTGTGGCCTCTATTTCTGGGCACTATACAGAGTGCAATGATCCAAGAATTCACACCTGCCTCACACCGGTCTGTGTTTGTACACCATCACGCAATTCCTCACACACAACAGACAAGTTTCACACGCCATGAGAGCACATGGAAATGATCTGAAAAACCGGAGTTATACACAAAAGACCGTGCTCAAGCGGCTATGGCTGCCGGCTACAACAAACACAACACGTATCTCTTCGCCATCTCTCTCTCTCTCTCTCTCTCTCTCTCTCTCTCTCTCTCTCTCTCTCTGCCCTCTCTCTCTCTCTCTCTCTATAATATATCGTCACAAACAGAACTGCCCGGTAAACCGTAGGCAGAGAGAGAGAAGAGGACAACAAACGAGGGGCTGTGACAAACTGTTTCGTCGGAGTTTCATATATATATATATAATATTATATATATATGCTACCCTCAGGCTTGGGTGTCCCTTCCTCGTCCTCTTCTTCTTCTTTTTCTTTTTTTTAACCATTATATTACAAAAGAAAACAGTTTGAGGCCGGGGACCTCACAATTCAATGCGGAGTTATCCTGGGAGCATTACCCATTTTAGCTTATGAGTGACTGCTCGCCACAGAATCCAGTCCGTCCTACGTTCTCTATGGACTAGCAGGTACCCTAATTGCTGTCTACCCTATCTTTCTTTACTCTGTTGTGGGATAAACTATGTATTGACCCTCCCTTATCATGTCTATCTACTTAAATATTCCCCTCTTTACCTACCCTCTTCTTTCCTTTTTTTACCTTAAACCACTAGTACCTTTGCCGAGTGGGAAAATAGCGGGCCCCAGGTGGGCCTCCGACCTTTTCGGAGGAGGAAACGAAATGACGGCCGCCGATCAGATTTGTCAACAGCCGTCGTCAGGCCCGGCCTCCGACATTTTAGGAGTTTGGGAAAACGTCCACTTTTCCCTATTTTCCCAACACTGGCGGAGGTACTAGTGCTTTAAGGCTTAAACCCTAAACCCTAGCTATTGTTCTACTGAAGTCTGTGTCTTATTCCTCTGGTATGCTTTTTGCAACCTGGCTGTAGCCTCCTGTTTCTATCAAGATCTTCCCCTCTCCCCTTTTGTCTTCTCTTTCCTACTCAATATGGTGCCCGGCATCGTTGACTACAACTAGTGCTACTCTCTCCTCCCTCATCCACAGCTGCCCGCACAATAACGCAACAGCGCTTCTGCAACAGACACGAAGGGAAAATCATCTTGATGCTGGCTGCGACTTCCTATTTCTGTGTACTGCAGTTCCTTAAATTAGATATGTTACGTCAGTCCCCCTTTCTGGCTTGGCCGCATCCGACCTCAATGTTTCCAACCGTCGTAAGACTTTCCTGGGACTGACAGACCATTGGCACCTAATGACTCAGTCGTACGGACTCAGCGCCTACCAGTTTCTGTATGGCCTACAGGTGCGGCACCTACCGGAGACTTAGCATGGACCCTCCAGTGGGGATATGATAAAAGGGTAATTGGGACTTGGTAACAGAACTGGACTGCAAGATACATACATCCTTTCATGAGAGTTCCAACCTCAATTCCTTGGAAGCACACTGTGGCATACTGCTTAGCCACACGGGCCTGCAGGGCCCGTCCCGCATTTCCAGCCTAAAAGCCTAGAAATAAGGGCTTACAGGCCCCTGTCATTTCAGCCTGAAAGACTGAAAAACGAGGGCCTGCAGGCCCTATTTCGTTTTCAGCCTATATCAGGGCTTTTCAGCCTGAAACGGAGGGCCACTTTCGGGCCCTCATAAGATCGACCTACCCTAAACCTCAGGCACAAAAACAGGGTTTTGGGAACAGGCTATTTCTGGCCTGTTCCCCACGACAGCCTCGAGCAGGAGCTGCAGCGGCAGCCCCTGACTGCCTTCGGCATTGGCAAGAGCAGCCTCCTGGACTGCCTCGCCCTGCAGCCAGSAGGTACCCGAGTAGTACATAGGAAGTTCCCATGCACTTCACGGGTAGATAGTTGAACAGTAGGCACGAGTARTCTTCAGGATTCAGCCGCAGCACTCAGGAGGAGYGCTGCAGGGAGTAGCTTAGCGMTAGCAGTAGTCTTCAGCGCTGGGMGYTAGTAGCCATAGCAGTAGTCTTCAGCGCTGGGCGCTAGTAGATGGTAGTAGTAGAGTTGGGAGAGATGACTGGCGGAGGCCAGTGGGACTTACCTGTGGCGCCATCGCTCCAGCTCCATCTGCGAGGTACCTGCATCAAGGC